ATTGTAATCAAACTGTTTCTCTATTTTGTGAGTCGAGTGATATTTGAATTAAATTGTTATGTTGAACTCAAATTACACTATTTTATACATGGAGTGATCCACCTCTTTTTTTTTAAATTATATTGAAGTTTGTGTGCAATTATATTTAATTCCGGCCAAAATATTCAGGTTCAAATGCACTTGTTTCATTAAATATTTTCATTATATATTCGTGTTCTTAATTCCTTACAATCATTTTGATCCACGAAAAATGAATCCGGTTATTGTGATCATTGTTTAAAAAATAATAAACTAGGCACGATACATGCATTGTGAACCAGTGTCTGGACTGAAATGTCAGTAATCAAAGCACTAAGACCTGTTGTAATTTACCTAAACCCATGTCGTTTTAAGCTACATGGTTTGTACAAAGTTAGTTTCTCCTTCACGCTCTTTGCTACTACTGTTTAGCTGACTGAAAACATATAAAGTCAGTACTCTTATATCTTGTAATCAATTTTTTCTCAATCAAGGTATTAGAATTTGTTTCTTTTATTTTTCGGTCCTCTCTTTTAACTCCCTAAATCACAAAGTTCACATGGGATCAGACCCTTCGACTCACGTCAATGGCAACGATCTCAGATTCTAATCCTCTGGAAAAACTCTAAACAATGATTCAGAGCTCATCCAACTCCTTCAATTCAGCATTTCAATCGAGCCTTTAGGTCGTCACTCCAAGTTGACCAGAGACCAACTATAGAGGCAATTACCGCTTCTGGAAATCGCAAATTCCTCAACTGTGGAGCTCATGAGCTCGAAGACCACCTATAAGTCTTATTCCTTGTCCTGCACCTTAATTTCATCAGAACATGAAAGTTGAGTGAATTAGGAGAAATTAGGTCAAAAGAAAAATAATCCAATTATGTTTCCTGGAAAGACTGATAAATTTATGGTAACCTAGCTATTGGCCTCAATCTCTGAATGCATGTTCACTTATGTGTCAAAATGTCAAACCTCTACATCTATTTGGTTAACTCTTGAGATTGAATTTCTGATGACTCTAAATCGCAAGTTTTTTCAACAAATATCTGTACAAAACAAGTAGAATTTTAACCTTATAAAGAACAATGAACAAGGCATTCGTAATTGTTATGCTGAGTCTTCTAAGCTTGAGAGTCTTGATTTTGTAACAATGATTCATATGATTTTTTATTTTGGTGGAGCTCTTCATTAGAAAACATAAGGATGAGTGGATTTTTATTTAGATAGACCAAAAATTACTCTGACATATACCTAGACATACAATACTCGAAAATCAACTTCCATACTATGTCTTAGATGAATATATAAATAGCTCCTAGACAACCTTGATCTTGAATCTACTCCTTTAAGCATCTTTGTTCTAATTCTTTGACGAGGACACGATCAAGAGCATACCCGACAACGATAAAAGTTCTACATTTCACAGATTTGGTTAGAATTGTATTTTTGAAAAGCTGCCCATTAGAGAAAAAGTCCAAGGGAGTTATTGTAAATATACCAAATGCGGTGAAGTGTATGAATCGGGACTCAAGTTTAAGTATGTTAGGAGATTGCTTACGCGACTAAGATTTGAAGACGAAAGCAGCGAATCCCATACTTGAAGTAAAGGAGCTGCAAATTCCACAACTTTTGGTGCATGACGAGAGATGAATAGTAAGAGAAACACCACTCTTCTATTCTAACAAACTAAATAAGCTTGACTCCAACAACAAACAATAACAACAACAAACAAAAAAAAAAAAAAAACCTTAAAAACTAGAGAAAATAAGAGATTGAAAGAGCTCTCAATTTTTTTTTATTTTTTTTATTTTTTTGAAATGGAGAGAAACCTTTTTATACTACCAAGATGGGACACATTTATTTTCACCATTATTTTCCACCTTTTCACTTTCTAATTGTAAAACTTCCTCTATTATCCACTAACTTTTCACCTTTTAAATTCTCAACTCACACCCTCACTTTCATTCTATTTTTCATTAATTTAATAAATATTCCAACAAGAACTGTATATTTGAAATCAAGTGCTTAATACAAAAAAATTCCAAACACATAAGATAACTAATAAGTGTTGTTCATGAAACACGACTGCTACTATAAAAAAATGCAAACACACACGGGTAGGTTGTATTTCTGAAACTAGCGAGTGCTCACTACAAAAAATGCCAAACCAGTGATGCCACACAAAAAGGCTAAACACACGGATTTTACTATAAAAAAACCTTTTACAATTGATATTTTATTCAAAAAAATTTAATTTCAAATTATCTAATACAATATATATGATATCTTAAAATGACAAATTATATAATTATACTATATAGATAAATATCACATTATTTATAAAATATTTACATATTGTTAAATATATACAACCATAGAATACTTCCTAGATTTTAAAAAGATTAAGCAAAATCATTGAATAAATCTTATATTCACAAAAAAAATTATTTTATTTAAAAAAAAAAAGTGGCGTTTTGATGTAGAAAATTCCAAGTAAAAAATGTTAAATTGAGTGCCCGTCAACTTCTATTGTATGTACCTCAAATGGAAATTTCCTCTTGACCATGCCTCACTAACTCCTATGTTTGATTTATATGTAATCTATTTATTCTAATTTTCTGAAAATAATTTCTTCCTCAGATGAAACATTTTATTTAGAAAGGAATGCATAGTATTAACTCTTTTTTTTTTTTTTTTATATCATCGGATATCTGCGTTAGTTTACAGTACTTCAACTCATCATCGAGGTCTTGAATACTTACAAGTCCATAGTCAGTAAGTCACTGATGTGGTAGATGACTACTTTGTGAGATTCAAACACAAAACTCTATATAACTCACCTAGAGGATAAAGTCTTACTTTTAACAAGAGAGTTTTTTCCAGCCAATTGTCGTCGTTTTGTAGCTTATATATAATCAAATTTTTGTGTAGTTGTGGGTTTAATGTACGCTCATATAGTAAATTGGTATAATAAGAAAAGAGGTACTATATATACAACTATTTTATATAATTTGATGTGATAATTCATTCGTAGGTAGCTATAGGATAGAATGAATTAGAGAGATATGTGGATAGGTTGTATGATTTTAGATTCGACTCCATCTAAGTATCCATGATTTAAGTGATCGCCGTGAAAATGGTTGCTCATCAGTCTCCACTGAGAATTAAGTGGAGTCGTGTTGAGTTGTTACGTTAGTCTCCCCTTAAGTATTTAGTGGGAAGCCAGGCTGGTTGTTGCACTACATATTGGATTTAATTGGGGTCTATAGATAATATTCTAATTTATGGAAATATTTTGGTATAATTCCTTATTTAAAACCAATATAAAGCCCACCCTTTCAAACTTAATGAAAAACTTTACAAAAATAACGAAAATTTTCACCTCCCTAAAAATATTAAGTTTAAAAAGTTATTTATAATACATTTAATATTCAGAAATATTTCACAACCAATAAATCCTATTTATTCCAGTACATACACCTAACGGCATCCTGATTTAATCTGGACCGTCCAGCCACTTCATCATTAAAAAAAACCAGCAAATAAAAAACACTCAAAAATAATTGTGTCCTCGAAACTTCTTTACAGACTTTCTCTCGTAACCTCCCCGCCACCGCGCCGCGTGACCGCCACCTCTTCAGGAGGTTTTACAACTCTTGCTTTTCCCCTCTCCACGTCATGTTTATTTGCGCTTTTGCCATCGCAGTCTTCTAAACTAAACTAAACCCCTCACCCTCGTCTAGGGTTTTTCTTTCTTCTGTCTCTTAAACGTTAGGTTTTTTACGCTTTTGCCACCGAACATCCAGCTTATTTGTTCACTTCTTTTTTTTCTTTTGATTTGGTCTAATTTTTTTTCATAGAATCTTTGATTTATTTATTATTCATAATTTACTGGTTTCAGTTGCTTGAGCTTCTGTTGCTTCATATAATTTAAACCAACTTTCACGATTTTTTTTTTTTTTTTTTTTTTAGTTTTTAAATTTTTTTTCTTCACTTTTGCAGTATTTGATCTTCAACTTCTTCATCAAATCAACTTTTGACCCCTAAAATTTCATAATCAATCTCTTTGTTAATCTATTATTTTTCAATTCCTTTTTGTTACAGTTGTTAGATGGCTAAGCTTCAGCTACGAATGCAACCCAGGCGGTAAAACCCGCGTGAGAATTGTGGTTTGTGGAGGAAAGGGTACCGGAAAATCGAGCTTGATTGTAACTGCCGCCACCGATTCGTTTCCTGCCAATGTGCCGCCGGTTTTGCCGCCTACACGGCTGCCTGAGATCTACCCCGACCGCGTGCCCATAACCATTATCGACACCTCTTCAAGGTCTCTCTTCTTTTACGGGTCAAGATTTGAACTGTTATGATAATATGAGCTTGAGTTTGGAATGTTTCTAATTGTTTCTCGCTGGGTGGGGATTAATAAATTAGTACGGAGGATAGAGGTAGACTGAGTGAAGAACTGAGGCGGGCTGATGCAGTTGTGCTTACTTATGCATGTGATCGGCCTGAGACCCTTGAAATTAAGTGAACTTTGGCTTCCAGAACTTCGTCAATTAGAGGTTTGAATTTTTTGTTTCCTTAAATTTGCTGTAGCATTGCTTCTAGTTTTGTTGCTTTGCTGAAAATGTGACCTGGGTACTTTAATTCTTCAACCATAGACAATAGACTTTGAATAACGTATGAAAAGAGTCACTGATTTGCAGTGCTCCGAATAAATTTTGGGAACCACTGCTGACTGTAATCTCTTTAATTTAGGTTTACCAAAGTGTCACAATTTCTAATCTATTGCTAAAAAGGCATTAATAAGCTAAAAAGTTGAGAAGAAGTTACCTTAGAAATTTGTTGAAGCTATATTAGCTAATTTTCTTTTTTAGTTCAGGGTTTTGGACTGGGATGTTACATTAAAATAGGAGAAGCTTCTACTATTTATAACTATTGTTGTCAACTTAGACTTTCTGAACCCGGGATTGATATAGATAATGGTTGTGAATTTGTGTCTTATTTAAGTTAAAAAATTTATTTTCAAGGTCCTGACCTGTTGAAAATAGAGTAGGATTTGGTTTTGGTGGATTATTTTAATATTGGCATTTGTGTGTGTTTTTTAATGGTATGTAATCTCATGATCAGGTGAAAGTGCCAGTTATAGTGGTGGGTTGTAAGCTTGATTTAAGAGATAGAGCCATCAGTGAGCCGGAACGGTAATGATGCCTATATGCAACAGTTTCGAGAGATTGAAACTTGCATTGAGTGTTCTGCATTGAAGCAAATTCAGGTATTTGCAGCCCTATTTGATCTTTATTTTATGTTGTTTCATAGGATTTAATGTATGATATTTTACATTAACATGGTTACTGATATAATGTGGTTTTGTTCTGGTTCTATGATCTGTTTGTATTGTTGATACATGTGGGATTTTTTAGAGCACTGTTATAACATTCTTGTACAATTCAATATGTACTTTATGGCCTTTGATTTTCACCTCTTGCCATTAATTTTGTCATGAGCTTTGCATATGATCATCTTCTTGCATCATTGATCTAGTTGAAGCTACTGGCGACAAGGATATGTTATTACTGTAATGAATTCTGTAGTCAGTGGGATGATCTGTGATATTTTAACCTGCCATTTGTTTTAGAATTGTTATAAATACTGAAATTGATGTTTAAATTGACCAATTTGTAGATCCCTGAGGTTTTTCTACTATGCACAAAAAGCAGTGCTTCATCCACAGGCCCTCTATTTGATCAGGAAACACAAGCTTTGAAGCCCCGTGTGTGAGAGCCTTGAAGCGTATCTTTATTCTTTGTGATCATGACAGGGATGGTTCTCTTAGTGATGCAGAGCTGAATGATTTTCAGGTTGATTCTTCTTCCGTCTTTTCCTTGTTTTAGGAAGGGAGGTTTAATTATTTGTCTGTGTAATGTTTCTGTGATTGAATTTGTACAATGTTTAATACAAGTTTCTATGAAGTTGTAACATATTGTGTTTGAGTTTGTGAAGGTCCTAATAATTGTTGTAACAGGTCATGTTTCAATTCTCCATTACAACCTTCTGAAATAGTAGGTGTATAGGGTTGTGCAGAAAAATTGCGAGAAGGATTCAATGATCGTGGTCTTCCACTGGCGGGGTTTCTTTTCCTTCATGCACTATGTTATTGAAAAAGGACGCCTTGAGACAACATGGACTGTCCTTAGGAAATTTGGATATAATAATGATATTAAACTTGCGGATGAATTGATTCCACATTCATCATTCAAACGAGCACCTGATCAGGTAACAGTTTTTTAAGTGCACTAATGATTGCTACCACTCTAGTTCAACACAAGTGATCTTACCTGTTGTTATTTTTTTTTGTATTTTTGTATATTTTTCCTAGTTGTGAATGGAAACTGTATTAAGTTATAAAGAAGCTTTATAAACATTTTATAGAAGAATTTCCAGATAGAAACATGTGATTTTACTGCTTTGAAGCTCTAGGTTCATGACATGCTAGACTTGAATTCATTGACAATATCTTTAGAATACTGGAGTTGTTTGGTTGCTAGTTAAGAAGTTATTTAGAAGAATTCAAATAAATTTTATAATATTATGATGCAAAAGCAATTGTGCTGGATTGGGATACAACTTTTCTACTTTGCTTCTGGAAGTGGACCAAGAACTTAGGCTAGTTTGTGCACTTCTCCCTTCTGTTGGTGGAAATTTGCTAGCCTGGATTCTGTGGTCTTGTGCATGCAGTTGGTATATCAGCCCTTGATTGCCCGTGGTGCTTGGGACTCTGAGAAAAGCTCTTTAGTTTAAACTTCTTATTATTTAATGGTGAATTTGGACGGGGAAGGAAAAAGATGAACTTGCAGATACTTTTTCCTCTTTCTAGGTGCATTTCTTCCAATTCTAGAACCATAATTCTTCGCTTCGACTCTCTTTTTTCAGCTAAGGAGGTTCTTCTTTGAGATGAATTTCATCCTTTCACCCTTTTCAAGTGTCCTATTACTATTGGGTGGGGTCGATCTGAGCATCTCAACTAGTAAACAACTTATTAGGAACTCAATATGGCCGATCAAAAGTGTTACAAAATCATTGAAAATATTAAGTGTAACAAGGGGCCAAACTTGGTCTACAAGTTACAAGACTGAAATCACAGTTTGCAGAATATAACACTTTGAAATTTGAAATCTGGTTGGGTGTTGCGGAGCATAGATTCTAAATAGTTGAAGCCTGGCGTTATTTTTCTAATTTTGTTATGTTCATGGGGTTTTTGGTTGTCTCTTATTACCTTTGGGTGAGACATTCTGCCTAATCTAGTGTTAAGCTGAAATGTTTAATTCTTTGTCTTTCTGTGCTATGTCATTGTGTATTTTAATGTTTGCCTCCATGTTTGTTTGCAGCTTGCAGTGTTATTTAGATGCTTACTTTTAGTTTTTGCTGTTGTGTAGAGCGTGGAGCTGACTAATGAAGCTGTTGACTTTTTGAAGGGAATCTTCGAACTTTTTGACTCTGATAGTGTATGTCCTGGCCTGTGTCTTGGTGCATACTTGACGTTTAACTGTGCTGCTAATGAAGTTTCGAGTTTATTTTGCACAATTAATGCTTTCATTATGATATGGTTAGAGATTAACTGTTTGCCAAGTATTTCACTAGCTTACAAGATCCTAACAATAAGTGTTTCATGCCAGGACAATACCCTGCGGCCAACTGAAGTTGATGATTTGTTCTCTACAGCACCCGAATGGTATTATAATGATCATTTTTTACTAATTTCAATAACTTATCTACTTATAATCCATTTACTCGTCTGTTGGATCAACAAGTCACTCAAATTCTTCTGTTTTAAGCTGTTGAAAAATATTTCTTCAGATGATGATTTAGCATTATTACTTAATACAACATGGTTATCTGTGGAGAAATAGTGATTGCCACATAATATTCTTGCTAGATTGAATGTCTTCTAGGATAAGCTGCCACTTTCGAACTGTTCCTACATAACATTTGACTTATTTCTTTCAGAGCACATTTGTGGTTGGGTAAAGGAGAAAAGGCCAAAGTCGTATGGAATTGTGTTGCTTTACCTACTTTATGGGTGATTTGGCAAGAAAGAAACAAAAAGATTTTTGAAGATAGATGTGAGGAAGATATCTTTACCCAGCCACAAATGTACAGAGCCTGTTTTCTTGCTTTTCTTTGGGCTTTGGTGTTTAAAAGCTTGTCAGGATACTTCCCTTTTCCGTATTCACTTAATTTAAAAGGGGCCTTTAGTTAATGTTGTGCTATTGATTTAGATTTTTGAGTTACCCATAGCGTGTTCAAAGAGTTGTTCATTATATACTGTATAAATATTTTTGTAATCCTTAAATGAGTCCTACTTTTTGTGGATCACTTGTTTACTTGTGTAGCAATTGTGATTATTGATATTCGTTAAGTTACTATAGATAAATGTTTGACTCATTTTTCATTAACTTCAGTCCTTGGGATGAAGCACCATATAAGGATGCTGCAGAGATAACTGCACTGGGAGGACTATCACTTGATGGGTTTTTGTCACAGGTATTTGTTTGAAGAATTGATAAATCAGCGGGTAAAACAACATCCACGTTAAGTCTATCTTTAGTTTAGAGGTTCTTTTGTTCAGTATATTAGTTTAACATAAACTTTCACTATCAAATAGCACTGTAAACTGCTAGAACTTGTTCATCCTCCAGCGACCTGTGATTCCTAATTTATGATGAATATTTGTGTTGCAGTGGGCATTTATGACACTTTTAGACCCAGCTTCTACTGTGGAAAATCTGATATACATTGGATATACTGGTGATCCTTCTTCTGCTGTCCGTGTGACAAGGAGAAGACGTATAGATCGTAAAAAACAACTATCAGAAAGAAATGTTTTCCAGTGTTTTGTTTTTGGGCCAAAGAATGCTGGAAAGTCCGCATTATTAAATTCCTTTTACGAGAGTTGAAAGAATACACATGTAAGCACATATTGAATGCTGTGGTTCATTCATTTTTTTATTTTACTATTTGTCATTGCATGCCTTTCAAATTGTATGTTTCTTTTTGACGTCATCTTTTGTTTTTCTTAGCTTATGAAGTTGGTATTTTGCTGCATATTATAAATAAGCAGTTCAGATTCTTCTCCCAATGAGTTTATCAATACTAAAGAAAATGCATCCCAAATTTTATGTCAAATTGTGAATTATTTACTCTTTTAAAATATGTCGTCATAGTATGCATGGCTGCGACGTGCTTCTAGCTTTTAAGTGGGTTAACATAATTGCCATCAGCTTTTGGTTCTTCAAATATTAGATTGATAAGTATAATCTTTAAGAGTTGACTCTCTTCTCTTGTTTCTATCTTTTAATTTGGGTAAAGTTAAAAAAAAAGTAGTGTTTAGAAGATCTTGTTTCTTTTTTAAAAGGATTACCTAGATCTTTTGTACTTCCTAGTTTTAACAGTGTGCTATTTTTTTTTCCTCTTAAATGTTATCTGAGTTTCTGTTTATGTTCTTAAATGTGTGGATGGTTTGATTCTTTGACTAACTGTATTTTGCTTGTCTCTGCAGGGAACTAGAAAAATCCTTGTGTTGCGAGAAATTCCTGAGGATGGAGTTGGAAAACTACTCTCTAATAAAGATTCTTTGGCTGCCTGTGATGTAGCAGTTTTTGTTCACGACAGGTAGACTGAAGGCTAGAATGAGTAATGCTTCTAGTCATTCTAATGAACTGTGATGTTAAAATCTTTTGAAATCATATGGTTTGGCCATTTCTAATCAAGGATTTAAATACAGAATCATGGTTAGCTTCACAAAACCATTTTAACTTTATGGGTGAGAATGCAAAAAGAGGTTCTTTTTGTCTGTGTGACTCTTTGATATGCATCTTCTGCCAGCTATCACTCTTGGAGTGGTAAGTTTTGTTGTTACATATTTTAAGTTCATTTGTTACTCCATTTGCTTCTGCAGTTCTGATGAGTCCTCATGGAAAAAAGCAACTGAGTTACTTGTAGATGTTGCCACTCATGGTGAGGATACTGGCTATGAGGTGCCTTGCCTCATTGTTGCCGCTAAAGATGATCTGGATTCATTTCCAACCGCAATACAAGATTCTACCAGGGTATGTACTTTCTTTGATAATTTTTTTCGTTTTTAAAGTATTCTAAACAGTGATAGCAATAGTGAGTATTTTCTGTTCTTCGGTTAGGAAATCATCATCATCATGCTCTTGATTTGAAAGGTCTTTGCTTAATTAAGTACTTTATCTTGGTGTTTCTTGTGGTTAATTTCTTTTTCTGTGTTAAGATCAATTTTCTGGCTGATATGTTTCTTGGCTGAGCAAAGATGTCCTGACTGTAGAAGTCAATGCCTATCAAGACATTTTATTTGGTCATTCTTGGTTACTAAGTAAACCAAGACAGTTTTATTGTTGCAATCTTGAGCAATGCTAGAGTTTAGATTGTTTTGTGCTCATGTATGTGGGTAAAATGCAGTATTATATGCTGTTTCACCTTTTTCCTTTTAAATCCATTTCTGTTTTTAAGCTGGGTTGAAAATTAACTAACTTTGTCGGAATATTGCTATTGTAGGTTAGTCAGGATATGGGAATAGAAGCTCCTATTCCAATTAGCTCAAAGTTGGGTGATTTCAATAATATATTCCGGAGGATTGTAGTTGCAGCAGAGCATCCGCACTTGAGCATTCCAGAAACTGAAGCTGGGAGAACCCGGAAGCAATATCATCGACTCATTAATCGCTCGCTTATGTTTGTTTCAGGTTTGTTGATTGTCTGGATCTAAGCTTTATTTTTACCTGCTAAAATAATAAAAAGCAAATTCATAAATCTTTCATCTACTTGTTAACTGTGTACCATGTTATTGCTTGTGTTTCACTGTTGCAGTTGGAGCTGCGGTGGCCATTGTTGGACTGGCAGCTTACCGTGTCTATGCAGCAAGGAAAAACACCTCTGGTTGAAGGATAAACGAACGAATATTCGCTATTCACTGGCCGAATCTTCTTTTTGATAACTTTCTCAGGTTCACTGAAATGGCTCATCTGATTTAATTTCAAATGCAATGTCATTAATTTACCCTTTGTATCCTTGAAGTATTTTATTTAGGTGAGCTAGTAGAAAAATATCAAATGATGTACAATTGAACAAAGTTATTGTGCAGGGCGTGTGCAATAAAAGAAATTTTGCTACAGATTGTTCCTAAATTGCCTTTTTGATGATCACTCACTCTATTGAGAGTTGTTCATTTAAATTTCGAATTGTTGGTTTGGACTTGTGATTTTCACAAAACTCTCCACCAGGTGAATGGTTCTGAGTTCTGCTATAATCTCTTAAAAGTTTATCTCATGCAACAGTCTTAAATAAATTTCAAGCAGTGTTTTAAAACCTGGTCCGATCGGTTGAACCAAGACCCGGGGTTTTCACTAGGCCCGATTATAAATTTTCCTATTCACCTAAACCTCTAGATATTGGGATGATGATTGGCAAAAAATTGAAGGCTGTGATGCTGGGGCTTTTGAAGAGGAATGATCAGTGATAGAGTTGATTTCCGGTGAGTGAATCAATTGGAAATTGAAAAAAAGGGATAACGGCAATAGTCGGATTTTGTCGGCGATTGGCAAGGCAAACAGGGGTGTGTTGAGATGGGTTTTGGTCCGGAGGTTGATTGGGGTATTTTCGTGGTGTTGCAAAGGGTTATTGACATCGACAGTGGTGAGATCGGACCTTGGTTTTCTCTGGAATGGGGCTCAAGGGATGGTTGGGATTGCGTTTGGTGTATCGTCACGGCTAAGAAGTCGACTTTCGATTTGTATTTGAGGTGTGTTTGCTAAATTTTAAACCTAAAGGGACTCAACTGTAATTTTAAGAGTGTATTTGCTAAATTTAAATTTTTTGACACTTGGTTTGACCGGCCGATTAAACCGGTCAACCTGGACCCAACAACTTTGCTGGGTTTCACCCTAAGATGGTTATTAAAACACTGATTACCAGACCAAGCCTACATGTGCAAGAAGCTAGATCACAAACATCCTTTGCATGGGAGATCTATATACACGTCACATCTATGAATCCCGAGTCTAGGTTGTCTCAAGTCCAATTTCTTCCCACCTAAACAAAAACCCAAAATGGTTTGATGATTAATCTTATTTTATTTAAGGCTGATGTTAAACTTAGGTCTTTCTTTAATCCTTCAATTAGCATTTGTTAAATAGGTGTTAGGTACATAGTTTTTGAAAATTATGTAGTGCGCTCCAGTTAATTAATTTAAGCTTAGTCTTTTCTCTAGTCGTTCAACTTGTGTTCTTTTAAGTAGGAAATATGTGAATAAGTCAAGCAAAAAGGTGACAACTTTTGTGTATAGGTATGCTGGTTCACATTACTGTAGTCTTTATTCAATCATTAAATTGAGAAGATGAACTTGTTTATATATAACACATAGTAAGGCAAATAATGGAAGCAGAAGAGAAAACGTATTATCTTGTGGGCTGTGACAGTATTCGAGAGAAGGATCTCGAGATCGGGAAACTGCTACTCTCAACCACATTGTTATTTCTTCATTTCCTGCCAACATATTCAGGTTCTGATTAATTCGCTTATTTATGTTCTTAATTTGTTTTATGATAATTAATTATTAGGATTTTTTTTTTCCTTCACCAAGAGGTTTAGAATGGATGAAATATAGGGTATTATATGTAGAATATTATTAGGCTGTATTATTCCTTTTTTCCTTGTTATATATATATATAACAAATTATTAAGACTAATTAACTAAAGAAATTAATAAGAAGAACAGTTGAACAAATTCACTTCGATATATATTTAAGAATTTATAGAAGCATTTATTTCTTGCAGATGGTTGGTATCTATTTAATTAGCTATTAGTCTTCATGGAATTAACGTGTTGAATAATAAAAGTATCATGAGCAGAAAAGTATGTCAAATATGAAATATATATATAGTGGACGTATCGAGAAGAGAGGGAGGGAGCTCTGCTGCTATCTGACTACTTATTAATTGTTGGCCAAAATATTCAGATTCAAATGCGCACCTGTTTTAATTGGTTTAAAAAGTTAATCAACTGTGCATAATTTACATGGAATGAATATTCATTTCATTATGAATATCAACGTATAAGTTTACAAAGAAAACGTACAAAATTTATTCTATATTTCTATACTTTCTAACTCTGAGAATAGTTTAAGGTATTACAGGATTTAGATATTAAATCAAATCTTGTTGTAAAGTTGTCATTTCACTTGAAAACATGTATAAACTAGTAAGTAGTTACTCAACATTAAATTTATCTACTATTAATTTTTTTTTTTTTTTTAAGAATTATTTTAGATTTTTTTTTTTTCAATCTTTATTCATTTCAAGTAAGGACACACATGGAACCCACTCTCTCTCATATTTGATGGGTTCAGTTTATCTTTATTGTTAACTATTATTTTCTGTTTGTCATTCAGAGCGATGAGTAATTCCATTGAAAATAACGATATGGTCGACCAGGTTCGAATTGACATTGAGGAACACTCGGAGTCTGAGCCTGTTGCTAGTGAGTGTTGTATTTACCGGGTTCCTTTCAGGATTCGTAGAATGAAAGCATATGATTACACTCCTCGATTAATTTCAATTGGTCCACTTCACCATGGTAAAAAAGAATTAGCTGATATGGAACATAAGAAAAAAAGATATATGAAATGCTTTCGTGACGAAACAAATGACCAGAAACTTGATGAAATTTCAACCTTCATCAAGAACAACGAACAAACAATTCGTCATTCTTATGCAGAAATATCTAAGCTTAACAGTCTTCGTTACAGATTGATGATTCTATATGATGCCATCGTCATCATAGGGTTTTTCATAAGGATAGCAAAGGGTGATAGAAGTGATTTACTGCTAGCTATAGACACACAAGCAGATACTTTACGCTCGGACCTGCAACTAGCAGAAAATCAACTTCCGTACTTTGTCCTCGAGAAAATATACGAGATATACTTATCTGTGGCTGGCTCTGGTTTACCTACCTTCATGGAACTTTGTCGGTCTTTTTTTGGACAAGATGCTGATTTCAAATTAAATCAGTTAGCCCCCAGGGAGACGGTTAAACATTTTACAGATTGGAGAAGAAGTACTATACTGAGAGGACACCCAGAAGAACAGCAACACGAATATATGGTTGATTTTCCTTGTGCAATGAAGTTGCATGAGTCAGGGTGAAGTTTAAGAGTGTTGAAAGAGAATGCAGACTCCAGGTAAAATTTGAAAAGCGAAAGCGTAGAATCCCGTGCTTTAATCTACATGAGTTGCAAATACCACATTTCATAGTGCATTCTCAGACTGAACGTTTACTTAGGAACATTTTAGCTTTTGAGCAGTGTCATTATCCATCAGATACTCGGTTTTGCAGATATATAATTTTTTTGGACTATCTTATTGATACTGAAAAAGATGTGGATTTGCTTGTGGGAGAGGGAGTTATCAAGAATAATTTGGGCAACAATACTTTAGTAGCAAATCTGTTTAACAAAGCTTGCAGAACGATGATAACAAGAGGGTCCTCCTACTTCCCTAAGATTTGCAAGGAACTGAAAGACCATTATAACAATCCTTGGAACAGAGCGAAGGCAACTCTGAGAAGAGTATATTTCCCCAATATCTGGAGGGGCACAGCAACTGTTGCAGCAGTTATACTCCTGATTCTCACAGTCACACAGACTATATTTTCTATCTTGCAGGTCATCTGATGTATTAGAATCGTTGTCTCTTTGTTGTGTATTTTCAATTTTTTTATTTGAAGCTTTGTCATCCTAATAATGTATGTTTGCTATGTATTGCTCAAGACTCACTGTATTATATCCATCATTTCTAATAATTTTCTTTCATTTTCGTGGAAAACAAACACCATCAAGAAAATGTCTTGTTAGAATCTCACTGAAGGTTTCCAATTCTTCGTAACTCAAAGAGTCCAAATCAGAGGATAAATACTCTGCTTCAATTTCTAATCCATCTCCTCAATGTACTTAAAATGAAACAAATGGCTGACACTCTCACCGCTGCTGGTACACTTGTCATTGATGATGAACTATATTAATGTACATAAATGGTGGTCTGGGCATTAAAAATATGTGACTGTGGTAGCTAATCTCAAATTCAGCTAGATGAGATTCTATTACATAGCAAGAGACTCATTTTATGTTACAGACTCAACAGTTTCACATTGTAAAGCATAATGCTTGATTAACGTCAGCCCATGGTAAATTGGTAACTTCTCTGCCGGTTTTGCTGCTAACACCTGGTATTTACTTGGATATCAGTTTTAAAATTCAGGAAGAGCTTCATTTCAAGCTCAATTTCGTGTAAAGATCAGCAGAGTTTCTGATACAAGTACTGGCTGGCAGGCAAAAATCAGTAAGTTATTTATGAAGTAAAGTTGGAAAATAAAATTACAAATTACAAATTACAAATTCCATTACTTTGTAAAGATAGATTCTCAAAAGTCAAACCAACTTACTTTAAATGTTATGAAATATAAATATAAATGTATTTACATTACTTTTTCTGCAAAAGTTTTTATTAACCCCCTACTTTTTAATTTTATTTTATATTAATCTCGATTCCTGATTTCGGTTCCTAACTATAAGAATCAAAACCAAAACCGCATAGTAACGATTCCAAATATTTGGAATCAAAACTTACCCGTTGACGACCGGTTCTGGATAGAAACCGAAACTAAACCCCGATACCCACCTGTTCCGATTCCAATCGGTTCTTTTAAACACCCCTAGTTGTCACTGTTAACAAGTCAACCTTCAATTTGTATTTAAAGTGTGTTTGCTAAATTTCAAACCTAAAGAGACTTATTACAATTTTTAAGGGTGTATTTGCTAAATTTTAAACTTTGTGACACTTGGTTTGACCGGCCCATTAAACCAGTCAACCCGGACCCGACAATTTTGCTAGGTTTCACTTTGGGTTGGTTATTAAAACACTGATTTCAAGTACCAGAGCAAGCCTATATGCGCAAGAAGGTAGTTCACAAACATCCTTTGCATAGGAGATTTATATACACATCTATTATTTGTCGAATTGTGATATGTTGGAGATCAATTACACAAAAATTAACTGAATCTAACACAGTGCAGTGTATTTAGACTGCAGCTTCAAAATCCATATTGTTGATTAACTATGGAGTTCCTTCGCTTTTTCACTGAGAAGGGTTTCTGCTTTTCTCTTCTTAGATTGGCCTGCTATCCTCTTGACAAGGGAAATGTATCCATCAACATCAAATTTCCTCTTGCACCCTGCATAGTTCATATAACGTACTTTCCCAAAGATAGGTCGCTCTTTCCACCCCTGAAATCAAGAATGTCCATGGAAAATTTTCAAATTGATTCCACAAGATAACAAACAAAACAAGAAGTGATAAAACTCAAACCTGATCATGAACACCACATATTGACCACATGCAACCAACATATCCATTTGGATCCCTCCCATCTATTTCATACTGCATTCCAAGCTTACAGGACTCAGGTTAACAAACTGGATAATAATTGGTAAAATAAAAACCGACCATGAAATCATAACTCAACTACCTTGTCATTTAGATATATTGATATTGCAAGGGCTTCTTCAGGTCCTCTTGTCCACTCAAGAATCTTTTTTGCCCAATACATCCTGCACAATGTAGAGGGAATGAAGTGTGGTTCCTATTTATCACACAAAAGTAACAGAACTACCATTTGTAGATCAACTATTAACTGGGTCAAGCGTATATCAGGCAGACTTCAATGAGAACACCAAAATGAAGTGCAGTTCAACATCATGAATTGATATCCATGGTTATATAAGAGTGAAAATTTGATAAAAAGAACAGAAATCCTATAGGCTAAGCAACATGATACAGCCAACAAAGGTAAGATCAAGAATTAAAACACTTTGTTATGGTAAAAAGTACTGGAGTAAGGTATTCTGTGGCCTATTTTTTCACAGATTATAATCTAAGTTAGCATGGGTTGCTCAACTTACATTCTAGCACAAGAGCAAAATCACAGGAAAAGAAAAACTTGAGTTGTTGACATTCTCAAGATACAAAGATTTAAGTATAAAAGAAAATGGAAATATAGCACAACATGCACAAAGAGAAGTATTATAAAGCAACAATAAGTTACTTACCCGCATGAAAACATGCATCTTCCCATGGTAAACCATCTCCAACTGAGAAGCATTCCAAAGCTGAAAGTCTCAACACAATAGTTGGTAGATTATCAGCACAATGCAGCGGAAAACCCAAAGAATATAACATAAAATAAAACACTAGTACATTATCTTCATAAAACCAAAGAATATTGTTGCAGGAGAAATGCTCAAATATGAAAAATTTTGGAGCATTGTACAAGATGATGGATCGAGATTACAAATTAAATTACAGGATCAGCAGTCTGTGCCTTCTCAAATTGCTCTTTTCTGCAAAACAATTTTCATTTGAAACTTTAATGACCTCAGCCAGTGAACAAAACTTAGCTGCCTGTGATAAGGGAGCCTTTTAATCTATAGTAACCAAATGAACGAACACAACTCTACTCACGTGTAAATAAGCTCTCGTTTCTAAGAGGCATGGTCCTTCAAGGTCTTACGAGCCCATTCCACGCCCCTCAATGAATCATAATGAGGGCTGGTAGAAGCAAAAGTTATCGGCAGTTCTCTAGCACAATCAAATCCTCCAAAAATGCATCAATTGCCTTTAGAGTAGCAGGTAGATACAGAAGCTAACATCAGATACAATAAATTATTAACAAAAAAGCAAGAGATACAATAATCCATGATAGCAAACTGGAGCTCATTGTGGTATCACGATAAATTCAACAAATATTCAAGACTAAACTAATCGGGTTCCCGTTTCACGCAAATACATAAAATAGACACAATGAAATCCAAAAATTTAGATACCACGAACCTCAGGACAAAGTTCCTTGCACGACGTGCCTCCAAGGCACATCTCTGTGCAGCATATCTGCCCGAAATGCAAATATGGAGAGAGACAATGAAAGTGCTCTGGGTTTCAATGGTTATCCTATCTTTAGGATAGCCCTTCAACCTCTTTGTCCAAAAACCATCATTACTTCCCTTCAATACTTCCATTGCGCATCTTCTCCAGGTTGACACCAGTCAATTCAGGAACTTCAGCCTTTCCTATTGAAACCAAAAAAAAAAAATTTAGATGCCCAAGATCTCACCCTCATCTCACTCGAATCAAATAATATCTACCTTAAAAATCAGCAATAACGCTGTCCCAATCATCGACAGTCTAGTCGCAGCCCATTTTCTATGTGGAGATTGCAACACAGGGAAATCAATGAGGTACTCCTGAAGCAATTATTGATCTTCCCACGTAAGGTCTTTGCACTGTACTCCAACTTCTCAGATGCTACCCAAACAGGTACTACATTATGTGCATCAACTTCATGTATAGCTACTGAATCACTAACCCTCCCCGCATATTTATCTTACATCTCCGAATTTCCCTTAAAGGTGGTAAAATCAGTTACAACAATGAAGCCCCGCATTCTTTCACGAAATGGGTATGGTCTCTTCAGCTTCTCCCTATAATTTTATCCCAAAATTCATTAATTTCAATATTCTAAATTACATACTTGAGATTTATATTCTAATAATTTTGAAGTCTAAAAAGACAAACTGAAACAAGAAAAATGGAATTTGAAAAGTTTCTTCAACTACTTGTCTGCAGATGACGCAAACTTTTAACATGAACCCTAGTTGCCTGGCTTTAGCACCCAAGAACTGATCAAAAAGATAAAAGCCACAGCCACAGGTACGGTATTTCTGTTGGCTTGATCGACGGCGTGAATCAAAGCCCAGTTGTCTCTCAGCCGTGATCTCTGAACATCCAGTAAACAAAGGACCAGCAGTTGATCTAACGCTGGGTGAACCTTGTTTTAGAACCCGAATGCGGCCCGGATGGACAGAGGTCGATTGCGGAGATAGAGATGCCATGGACTGTGCGGAGGCTTCTGCTAATATGGGCCAGGTGTGGAGGTTAAGAGGAAAAACCGAAGGGAGGGATAGGAAAATGAAGAAGAGAGGAAATGGAGGGAATGGAAGCAGGTAAAGTGTGGTTTTGAAATGCGTACGTAGATAACTTCAACTTTGAAACGTAGGCTTTCGATGTTAACAACACTGTAGTCCTTAAGGTTTGAAAAAAAAGTATAATCTAATCCCAGGTTCTCAAAAGTATCACTTTGATCCAATGTTTCAACTTAGGGTCATGGCAA